ATTTTGACACTGATATGTTTCTGAGACATGACAAATAAACACAACATTCCACAAGTAGATCTTAGCTGTCTTACAGATGTCTGAAACAGTTATGATACTCAAACAGCACCAGAGTTCTTAGCTCCTAAATTATTTGACTTACATAAAAGTAAAACAGTAAGCTATACCTCAAAACACATAAACTTGCAGAAGATTTATAGAATAATAAAATAGAAAAAAAGCAACAGGATTAAAACCTCTGCCAAGATTGATGAAATATACCCCCAAACTTTTTTGATCTATTCCTGTTAAGTAGGCAGCTCTGAATTTCTGCTGAGAAAGTCCTGGGGTTAACCAACAACAAAGTGACAATTCAACCTCAAAGACAAATAAGAGGAGCAGACAAATTCATTATTTGCATGTATCCTGTAGCAAATAAAACATCTATTGACCAAAATTTGATTTCATTTGCCTGTGGGCATAAAGCTGCATGCATCAGGCAAATTGGCTATAAAACTAGGCTTTTAGAGGACAAGAAAGAAAGGGATACATTTGAACATACTAAAATCAGATATAAAGAGTATAGGGACATTTATTCAGGCTAACCCTTTTTCTTAAAGAATCTATATTTTACTTTCTGCCCAAACGGTGTCTAGATAACAAGTCAGAAAACAGAATACAATTGCCAACTTTATGCTTTGACACTCAAAGAGTCACTCTTTTTAAAAAAGGGCCTTGCTTGCTATGTGTAACCAGTGGCAATGGACAGAGCCAAATTTCCTGGATAGATGAGCAAATATTCTGAATTTTCCCATTAGTTTTGTAAATATCCAGTGACTACTAGTAAATTTGGGATACATTTTCTAAACTATGTTCCTTTTTTAGAGTCTAAAATAAAAATTTCCTCCCTTGTAGAATGATATTGGAGAATAGGAATGTAGTCTCCATTACCTTCTAAAACCATGTCTAGGGCTCTGGTCAGCTTAGGGGGCTGCACAAGTCTTTAGAACTAAATATGTTCAGCATATAAGCATGGTATTAACTATTTTTAAGATTTATCTCTAGTCTTTAAAGCAACCTTGCTGGTAACACTAACACTGCCCCCATTTTACAGATAAAAATACTAAGTCACATAGAGCAGTTCAGTAAATTCTCTAAGCTCATGCTGTTAATAGGTGAAAGTTAAGTTTTGAACTCAGATCTTTGTATTCAAAACCCTATTCTTCCAACTTTATTGTCAAATATGTGCCATTAGTCGATTGACTGACACACACATACTTTTGTGCATAATTTTAAGTAGCTCTTTATGATATGCATCCTGAGATTGCAAGAGAAGGCAGTAGAATGAATCCCCAGGGACATTTATCCTAATTCCTTCTTTTTGTAATGGAGGTAACCGAGGCCTAAGGAATCAGCCAAGGACATATAAGAAAGTAATAACAATGTTGGAAGTGAGATTTTTCCTTTAAGCTTAACATTAGGAATGCCATAACATGACATGAAAATTTTAATGTCCTACTATTAGAATAAATTATGAAATAAGTTTTAAAAATAAAGTTTTAAGAATCATGTCATACATTGTTATTATTTATGCTAATACATAGCTGCAATAAGCTTTTTCCAGGGTGCATTTTGAAGCTGATGCTACAACAGAACACATCACAGGAAAAAAAACGTGGGGACTTGGTTTAGAAACACACAGAACAAATTTCACACTGAGCTCTAAAAAGTAGGCATTGAGCCCACTTTCTGGAATAAATCAAAGAGTAGGCAGAAAACAGACAGCAGGAACAGTTATTTTAGCAAGAAAAGTGAGATAAATTTACCAAGCCAATCGCCGGATGAAGGATGCAGATGAAAAGATGCAGAGAGAAAATGTGCAATGTTGATACGTGAACACATTTGAATGCAAGAAAGCAAAAAACCAGAAAGCACAATTGTCCTAAATGTGAACAAACATTCAAATTATGCTGCAGCTGCAAAATTTAAACTCAAGGAAGAGACATTTGCAAAGGAATTTATTAAATAGATGTGATTTCCTGCTTTCACATACCCAGTGGCTCTTTTATAAAGTAAAATGTCCAATTTGTCTTGATATAAATGACATTTCCCTTGTTGTACTCAATCAAATAGCAGAAATTCCTTTGTGAACGACTCTGCTTATTAGAGAGCACAATGCTATTGATAACCAGACGTGCAGGCTCTGAATCACAGAGCTATTCCACCTAATAAAATGCCTTATATATTGAGTATGGTCTTATACAATAGGGAGGTTTTCATGCGAAGGAAATTAGTTTTTCCCTAATGGCATATGCCAGAGCAGTTTCTTTGTAAGAAGTTATGTTTCTTGCTGAAACCAACCCTTGGTTTCCAAACCTGTCCATCTGTCTTCCTGTTCTCCCTCCTCTCTTCCCTCCACATCCCCCACCCCCGCAACCATCCAACACATATTTATAAACCTAAAGTATATAACACAGCAGGGCATCAAATGTATCAAAAGACTTACTGTTGAAGATTTTATGATATTAAGTCATTATCTGACCAGAAAACAGATCCTGACCTTTACACACCTCCCACACTGGAAGTTGGCAAGCAAGTCCTCGTATTGCCAGCAGTCTTGACTGCAGCTGCAATGTAGAACTTGTGACACCAACCTGGATCATTCGTTTTACTTAGTGGTTCCCAAAGTAGGGTCTCTGCACCAGCAGGACCAGCATTACTCAGGAACTTGTTAGACATGCCAATTCCTGAGCCTCATCCCAGACCAATCCATGAAATCACTTGGAAGCCTCCATACAAGACAGCGGTCCAGACCACTGGTAAGTGAAGTCATTAGAAATAAGTCAGGAAACAGAGTGGCAGGTTTTAAATGTTAGTGAAGAAGTTTGGTCAATGGCGAATTGATAAATCAAAGAATATTTTCTGAGCAAAAAGCAGACATGACCAAACTTATATTTAGCAAGACTTCAGGGCTGAATGAGACCGGAGAGGTGATTGCCTTGTTCAGGTAAGAAGGTATAGTCATTTCCTCTTTCTTTGACAACTCAGGAAAGTGACTGGGACTGTTCACTGGGTTTGCATTCTGTGCTCAGGATGTGATTTGTTCTAAGACATGCTCTCTACTGTCAGCCATTCTCTTCACCCCATAGTTTGATTCTGTCTTCTCTTTGGCATTTCTGCCTTGCCATCTGCCACTACCCTGGTTTACCTTTCCCGCCTCTTTCTGCTGCCCTTTTCCCTCCCCCCTCCACTTTCATTTCATTTCAATTTGCACGCTAATGTACATTCTTTAATTTTAAATGTTTGTTACCGGTTTGTTTTAATAGATGCTCCTTACAGAGTTCACCAATTAATTACATTCCTCCTCTAAACAAATGATCTTCCAGGTCACAACACAATGGGAGGCTTTACCTGACTTTATTTTAATCTTATGTCAATCCTTATTATAATCTTTACATCACAATAACAAACAAACTTGGAATCAATTTACTGTGTTAAATCCATTTTGCTGGCTGACCATCTCTGCCACATTATGTTCTGACATGCAAATTTAAGTCACTCATTTCATACAAATAATGACACTGTTAACTGGTTGTTTCCAGATAGGAAAGAGAATAATTAAATATTTGTGTGTCCACAGACACCTTTTATATACAAAAAAATATACAGTGAATAATAAATATAGATATAACGTTATTACATTATCTTTAATTCCAATGTTTTGGTCATACTTCAAATCTTATTATATGATGGCTCAAATGTACATGTGGACCAAGATGTACTTCTTGTTCTGGAATGGGAAATTAATCAATGAATAAGTTAGTTTTGAAACAGAGCTCACTCTGGTTCTATGACATTTGGAAATCACTATTAACAACTTTAAAACACAAAACATTTTCTTCCTGGAGATAGTTCACTGAGGAGGAGGAATATGTGATTTATTGTATGCTTTGAAAAGAAGAAGGAACTATGACAGATGCCTCTGGCTCCCTGGATCACCCCACCTTGGCCCACCTCTGACCCCAGCCACACTCACAGACATACCATTCTGGGCCACTTGGCTCTCTGGACTTTTCAGTGTCTGCCTCCAGTGACAACTCTTTCTGCTTTCTACTTCATGAGGTACCAGCATAGTCCAGCAGGTGGTGCTGTCAATGCCCCAGGGAGCAATTGACAACCAAGGGGAAAGGTCAGTGGATAAACTTGCTGCACATCCTTCAGGCAGAAATTCTGGAAGGTCGCTCTATCATTTTAGGGGTCCCAGAATAATCAAGTTCCCCTGGTACACAGTGGTGGGCTGGTTCACCCACCCTTATTTTGGTCTTTTCTTCCCAATTCATTCTCTGCTCTCAATTTTTGATCCATGGGATTAGCTCCCCAAAAAACTACCCATGTCATTCTCTCATACAAGCAACCTAAACAAAGATGCTAGTTTACAGAAGTACTCAGCAATATCAATCCCCTGTAGCTGACTCCACACGCGTAGTATTCCTGATTCATACTTCATTAAGACCCTTCTTTTAATCTTTTCCAAAGCTACATAATAAAATAAAAGGAGTGAAGGTCATAGTATGGCCTCTGTGCTTCCCCTGCCTTTCTTAGCACACGTAGATCACATTGAGCATGTCTGGGCTGATTAACATTTGTACAACACTCTAAGAAAAAATAAAAGCTGATACTATGCCACCCGTTTTCATAATTCCATGCTTAACCTAAAGTACAACAGTTTGATCCACAGTCATGCCAATGGCATTTGCCTGATCTGCCACTGCAGATTAACAATAAGAATGCAGGGGAAACATGTACAACACATCTCATTCAGAATCCATACAGCCAACTAGGGAGTTAAAAATCACAGTCTCTAAGTCCAGTTGCCTGTTAATGTGTCTGGAATTACAATCCATAAATGTTTATATTCAAATATACCATGCTATCAAAAAAAAAAGAAATTGTTTCCTGTAGGATGGTTGAAGAGAAAGCTGTAGGGATGTGATAAATAAAGGAAAAAAAAGACAGTTTACCTTTGAATATCAATTCTCCATTTTTCTAGCTTGTAAGACAGGAACAGATCCAAACTTTGCAGTTTTTTAGCCCGTTACCACTCGGGGCACGTGATGTGTGACTGTTCTGAAACAACAAAGTGCAATAATTAGATGCAATAACTATCCTGAAACAAAAAGATACTTAAGAAGATCTCATAAGAACTCCTCTGGCAGGCTCCAATTCAATGATGTGAGGAGGGGGTCTCCCAGAAAAGTTACATGGCTCTGGTCTTGCATGATGAAAGCACTTTGTACTTTTATGCTTTTCAGAAAATAAAATCAATCATAAAAATGTCACTGAAATAAATAGGTTTGATATGCTACAATCTACTTTTCTACTATTCACAATTATATCCTCTTTAAAAAGCAATAACATGCACGCATCAATCACTGATTTTATAAGACATATTACACACACGACTGTATTTACTTCCTGTGCATTGTTGTAGCAACACTTCAACACAGCAGCTGTGACTAAAAAAGGAGGTAAAAAATACTATTCTTTTCAGAGTAGTTCATCTGACGTCACAGGAAGACAACAAACATGGCATAACCTTCCCAAGTGTACCACTAGGGGTTTGCCGTTGCCTACGCCACACCACTCCCCTCATGATTAATGATGCCTTCTCAAGAAAGCGCTAAAATGGGACTTCTGCTTGGGCCCAAACGTATGCAGAGGTACGTATCCCCACATCACTTGTTTTATGTGAACTGTAACTATTCTTTCAAAAAGGTCACAAAGAAAAGGACATTGTCACACACAAAAATGATCTGGTGTTGAAAGGGACGGAATTAACAGAGTTCTGCTTCTCTTTTCCTTTAAGCAATATACTTTTGTGGCCCTACCTAGCATATTAAAATATTGTCAGAAAAGAATAAGAAAATAGTAAACCTAAGTATTAAGTGGAGATGTAATGATATTCAGAATTGAGAATATTGAAAGGTTTGAGTAATTTTTTTAACCTAAGTTAAGAATGACAGTGCCTGGCTCTAGCTGTTTTGATTCAGTGGATAGAGTGTCGGCCTGCAGACTGAAGGGTCCTGGGTTCGATTCCAGTCAAGGACACATGCCATGGTCATGGGCTCGATCCCCAGTAGGGAGCGTGCAGGAGGTAGCCAATCAATGATTCTCTCTCATCACTGATGTGTCTATCTCTCCCTCTTCCTTCCTCTCTGAAATCTATAAAAATATATCTTAAAAAAAAGAATGCAAGTGCCTGAATGAATGTAGAAATTCTCTTACAGAAGAGGAATCAGAGGCCAGACCAGGTGACAGGGCTAGCTCGATCTTACTGTGCTAATAATAAAGGCAGGAGGACATCCCAGAATCTCTGCTTTGAAGTTCAATCCCTTTAGAAACTCATACATTGTATTTGTTTCTAAAGAGAATACCAAACATTCAAAAAGTTGAGGGCTTATACAATTCTCTGCAGAACTTCTTTGAGCAATATTTGAGACTGGCACAGTTGACAGGTTAAGTATTACAATGCTGTGGGTGATAAACTGCAAGAACAATAATAACAATGGTATGTACTTTCATAACACTTAAACATGCTGGGAATATTATATTTTCACTTATGTCTCATTTATTCAGGTTACAAAGGATAAAAATGAGATTGTATTATCAAAAGCTATCAGGTATAAGTATGATTTTCATGGTTTAAATATAATTATTACCTTAAATATTCTCATTATACCACTAAACCAGACAAAATCTGAAAGGAATTTTCCCCCTACAAATATGGGGAATTGGTAACTCAAGAAGATAATGGAAAATTGATTATTGTTAAACATACAGAACTGACATTTATTTCTTCATAAGTATTTACTGAGAATATATTTTGTGCTAGACATTGTTCTTTATTGACTGTAAAAACAAAATGGAAAGAATATGCAAGTTCTGGAAAAGAATCCCAGATCCCAAGATATACAATAATAAATCAATTTTAGCCCTGGCCAGTGTGGCTAAGTGGATAGAGTGTCAGCCCTATCACAAAAGGGTATTGGGTTCAATTCCAAGTCAAGGGCATGTGCCTAGGTTGCAGGTTTGATCCCCGGCCCCAGTAGGGATGTATGTGGGAGGCAGCCAATGGATATGTCTCTCTCACATCTCTGTCTCTCTCTCTCCCCCTCCCCTCCCCTCCACTCTCTCTAAAAATCAGTGGAAAGCATATCCTCAGGTAATGATTACCAAAACGAAAAAAATCAATTTTATTACAATTGGAGTATTTCCTAAGTTAGATAAGTAATATAAAGAAGTATCTTAAACACCGGCTGGTATCTTAAATGTCATCTAGCTAGTGGTTCCCAAAATGGATGATAATCATAACTGCCTGGATGGCTGCTGAAAATACGAATTATGGAATTTCACACAAGAGCTATTAAATGAGAGTATTTACGGGTACAGTCAGGGCAATCTGCATTTTGAAAAATGCTCCCCAGTTCATTCTCCTGATCAATAGGTTGGGAAACTTACTGATTCTTGCCTAGGCTCCTCATTATAAAGATGAGGAAATTGGCACTATCATCTCAAAATCAGGATGGCCAATCAGACCAGGGGATTGACTTGCCCAAGGTACTTGCCCCTTGGTGACAGAATTGAGATTAGAATGTCAAAATCCTTATTTCCTGGGATTTTAGCCAGAACTAACCAAGGCCTTCTAACTCGTAGTATAGCTATCTTCCATCTCAAATAATCTCTCTCAAGTTTTCCACTCAATTACCTCTTTTACTGAATAAGCAGCATCATTTAAAATATAATGTTTTATCCTAAAATTTTTATTCAAACTTTATAGCCCATAAGGTAATGATTGTTTGAAGACAAAGTTAAATTATCTGCTTCCTGGTCCTTCTACGCCTGCAGATCCTGGAGTGAGAATGAATTTCAGAACAAGGTCTTCATTTATTTTGTGATTTTCCATATGTCTGAGACAGTGTCAGATCACATAAAAAAAAGACTAGCCCATTTCCACTTCCTCTGCAAACCACTTAGCTAATTGATCCCTTATTTGTGTATAAGAAACATCAAGGCAAAGCTGGATGCATGGGTATGCAACCTGGGCAGTTGCATGAAGCCTCATGCTGAGAATGGGCCTGTGCTTTAATATTTATCTTTAAACAGTGTTGGTGGATTGAGACCAACAGGATAGTGGCACATGTGGGTGAGCAGGGGGTATCTACACATCATGCATGTCCTCAGCCACCCCTTGCTATCTCATCTGCATATAAGTGTGCATGATGGTGAATTCTGGTGGACCCAGGATTTCTGGGAGCTCGGTGAGATTCAATATGAGAATGAGGTAGAGTATTTATGTCCATGACTAAGTAAGTGGGGAAGCTGACAGTCCCCAGGGGCCATGTTGTCTGTTCCAACCAGAATTTGCTTTGAACTTCACAAGAAGGTAATGGTGCTAAGAAATACGGATGACCAAGGAGCTCTATAAAGGGGAGTCGAATATGCCACCCCAAAATACACCACTTTGGTATATTGATTATTTTGAATTACTAATAAAAGTACTCGAGAAGCAGCTTGTGTAAGAAGCACACTCTGACCCTCCTTTGTCTCCCTGAAAGCATACTAGTAAGATGAATTTCCCCTGGGAAAGGTACCCTCCGTGTACCAGCATAAACTATCCTCATCACCAGAGAGAGGAAATTTAGGGCCAAGAGGCTGCATAAGCAAATCTTGTTACTTCTTCACCAAACACCTTTGTCTTGCTAGTTTGTCACAAATTTATTGTTTCCTTGTCTAAAAGGTATAAATGCTTCCTGCTTTGGTCACTCGAGTCTAGTTTTTTTATGGGACTCCCATACATAAGAAATTACATTTTTTTCTTCTGTTAACTTATGTCAAATTAATTATTAGACCAGCCAAAGAACCTAGGAGAGAAGAAGGGAACTTTTTTTCTGTTCCTACAATTATATATCTTTTATTTCTTTAATTTTTTTCACTTGTATTAGCCCAGTTTTGCTGAAAATGATGGCAAAGAGAAAGAGAGAAAGTGCAATCCATAGTTCCTTTTGTTCAACCCTTCCCTACTCATCAGTGAGCCAATGAGAGAGAGAGTTGGTAGAATGTACCCATATCGAGAAGTGAAATAAAACAGTAAAGTTTTATGCAGTGTTTCCACTGGTCTGGTAAGAAGGGTATACATATGCATGATCTACTAGTATTAAATATAAATTGCGTAATTTTGGTGATTTTGCAAATAACTTAAATATTCTTTCATTTACAATGTACAATATAAAGATGAATAGTAAAACTCATGCTAATCATTTAAACTTTTGTTTTTTCTTTCCTTAGAACTACCTTAAATAGTAAATGTAAACATTATGATAAGTTGAGAGAGAAATGGCAGAAGAAAGAAACAGTCTTGTATTTTAGAACATTTAACCAACCTTCTGCCCTGCCTTTGGAACAAGTGACCTGCATTTTCATTATGCCCTGGGACCTGCTAGTTATGGGACATTAACAGTTACCCTGTTGCAATGAACTGGCACACACTCTAGCAAGTGCTTCAAGCATTAACTTATAGTTTAAGCATTGGATGTAGGATATAGGAAATGAACTGAAAATCCTAATATAACTGCCAACTAGACTGTTCTCCTCACATGTCCAAACGTCTTCTCCTTCCTTCCCAAATAGCTCTTGCATATCTGACCAAAGCTCCTTTATTGAACCAACCGACCTCAGAAGTCCTTCTGTTTCTAATTTAATTTAAATTAATAATTTAATTTAAATTTTCCATTTCAGACTCTACTGCCTTCAAGGTCAAATCCTCAGTTGGGAAAGAGAAAAGTCAGCAATAAAAACAATTTACTTTTTTTTTTTAAACTTTTTAAAAAATATATTTCTTTATTGATTTCAGAGAGGAAGGAAGAGGGAGAGAGAGATAGAAACATCAATGATGAGAGAGAATCATTGATTGGCTGCCTCCTGCACGCCCCCGACTGGGAATCGAGCCCATAACCCGGGCATGTGCCCTTGGTCTGAATCGAACCTGGGATTCTTCAGTCCACAGGCCGACACTCTATCCACTGAGCCAAACTGGCTAGGGCAACAATTTACTTTTAAAGTGTGAATAA